GCAGAGTCATCACATCTCACTTGCAAACATTTGGAAGTACTCTTGTTGTAGGGAAAGCCTTGGATAAGGTCAACTTGGTAAGCAACTGATTTGAAACCTTAAGAAATTTATTTTTATAATTATTTCTGTAGCAGGTATTTAAGTGGAGCTTGGTTGTCTGAATATCCTTTCATGAGGAATAGTCAATGATCAGAAATTGAAGCAAACCCTTTATCTCCAGAGATCTGATTGTTAATTCTCCCTTCTTGCTGCGGCACACTTCCTCGTAAATTACTCATGAGAAGTTGGTGTTTGATTTAGGTATTAACAACTTCTGCCTGATAAATTTGAGCATTCTCATTACTTGTTTGCAGGATAATTTATGGATATTATAGGAAGATGTTACATGTACATGTGAATCACTTCTGGGTGTTTAACATTCTCAACAGAATGCAGATAAAGAGTGAGAGATCCCATCCATTTTTTTGAACAAAATGTATCGTTTGATTTCCCTTAATTGTTTCATTACAGATGGTTAACACTTTGGCATTGATGCTTTCTCCTGAAGAGCGTAAACGGTCGCGGTATGCAGTGGATACATTGGCTAATGACAGCAGTGACTTTTATGACTCTGACTTATTTGTTCAAGGCTTGTTAAAGGTACTTGTTATGACAGTATGATTGTACTGCTGGCAAATTTGAAGGGAATTTTATATCTTCTACTAAAATATCTACGTGGCAGGCATATTCATATTTGTCTTGTTAGAAATGCCAGTGTATATTTTCAATTCAGTGTCAAAAAACCAAAACCAATTTAATCCCAATAACTAATTAAAACAAACTAAGGTTTACATTTTCATTAACCAGTGAGGGCTCAAAGCAAATTAAATTAAATGTTTCAAGCATGGGAAAATGGGAATCACTAAGTCGTGATTGCTTTTAGTTTTGCATTTGATTAAATGAGAGGATGGTCCAAGTCATTGTTTCATCATTTCACAAGTTTATTGCAAACCAACGTAATGACCAGCTCTCAGTTGGCTTGTCATCTCGGTTGGTAGAGCACTGCACTGTTATGGCAGCTTGTTATGGGTTCAAGTCCTGTACAGGCCTGAATTTTTTTTCAGGCCTTATTTTCCCTACTGCTTGAGTAGTGTTCATTACTGCAAAGATCACTCTCATATAAATGAAAAGCCTTGTGGTGAGGTTCATTGTGCCAAACAGATGATTTTCAGTAAGGGATTAATTCAATTTTTTCCATAAACGAAAGCCCAGAGGCCGTTATTCAAATAAACGTTTTCTACCTAGAATATAACTTATAGGGGACTTAATTGTTTCATTTAGCACAATATATACGAGTATTACTGAACGTAAAGGACAAACCACTGTCAGTAATTTGTTCTATGTTATAGTGCATTCACAATTTTTCTTTCTGTGCCTCAGAGTTCCAAAGAGTCGTTTAGCCTTCCAGTTAAAGGCATAATCACCAGTAGTCTGCCAAGTACTCTTGTTGACATGGATACCGGGGAGGTCAAACAGACTTGCCCCTTTAACGAACACATCGTGATTCGTAGAGAGTTTATTGACATCGAGTTAGCACTTTTGTCAGAAGAAGCAGAGGATACGCCTGTTTTCCCGGAGCTGTAAGTGCCGTACTAGAATGTACAGTAGGTTGCCATAGCGAAGTTTGTTGTAACTCGTACTTGTCAATCACAAGGTAGTTCATGTTTCAGAGAGCCGGACTGCCGTGCGAGAGGTCGCGTGTTCAAGCCTCAGACCGGATCAACACTCAGGGTCTTAACATATCTGAGGAAAATGCGCGGCCTTTGCTACGACACCTGCACACGGTTAGACATTCTAGTCTTCTCTGACAAGGACGATAAATCGTAAGCGCCGTCTCCTGCATCTTCACTATACTGGTTAGCAGGGGAACCTACACAGTTCTTGCAAAGAGTTGGGAACGTAGCTACCGGTGTTGTGGTCTGGCCTTGATCCAAAAATTGGGGAAATCTGCAAACATGCTCATTTCAGTCTTACCAAAGTCCCCTCCGCAAAGTATCTTAAAGCGCCATTAGCTAATAGATATGGCGCTAAAGAAATCCGTCATTACATACATCACTTACTTACTTCCTTGGCCATTTTTCAATAAATTTACAATTGAAAAAATTTTGGAGTGAAGTAATTTGAAAACCTTAAGTGAGATGGCCGTTTTAAAAGGATGTTTGTTGATTGAGGATGACTGGATTTTTCCATCTACTAAGTAGTTAAGTTTACATTTTTCATCTCCTTCTTGTAGGGGTTTGCTTCATTACTCGGAAGAAATCGGCCTCTTAGTACAAACATTTATGCATGATGTAAGTATTCTGTGTATTGAGAACACCTATTCTTGTATTATACTTGGGTGGTGAACTTGTTAGGCTTCGACAGAAAAACACCATGGAGCGTGTTTGGCCCGTGAAGATTTATGGGAATTTCTGGAATTCATCGGCAGAGTTGAGTCAGCTGGAGTTCATCCCGCTTGTCGTGGTATAAAACGACTTAAAGTATTACTACTCTCCTCTTAATAGGATATCAGATGGAAGTTCATCGGTACCCATTTATACCCCTGGGTGGAGAGGGACAACGAGTTGAGGACCCGGCCTGATCTCGAACCCAGACCTCTCGGCTTGGAGTCCAGCGCGCTAATCTTAAGGCCACCAAATCTCCACAACTTAACGCAAGCCTGGAATGTAATCTGATTTGAACCAAAACCATGAATATTCCTAAAACTCTTTGTCGCTTTACGCTACGGAAACCGAGCCAAGCCTTAATGACAAGAAGAGCCCCTTTCCACAAAATTTGCAAAAATAATTTGATGAACACACTATCACTGATTGCTCATTTTGTGCACATGTTGCACGATTCATATTTCCATGATCGTGTTTTCTCTTTCCTTCCAGATCCAAATTCTTCCATACGTCTGTGGTGTTCGTGAAGGATTCATTGACAACTTCTTACGCCTTCTCGACCGAAAAGCCCTCGCTCTCATCAAATACGTGGAAACGCAATCGTAAGTATGGCCTCTCTGATCCAATAACTTCGCAGCCTCACGACATGTGAACGACGGAAAGTTGTA